AGTTAGGAGTGATCAGGACTCTGTACCACAGAGCAGACAGTGTCCCTACAAACCCAGGAGCCAGGCAGAACTTCTGGACCTTTGGTTCTGGACCTTTGCTTCTGGACCTTTGGTTCTGGACCTTTGCTTCTGGACCTTTGGTTCTGAACCTTTGCTTCTGGACCTTTGGTTCTGGACCTTTGCTTCTGGACTGTCACACACAGAAACAGAACCTTGTTTTTTGTTTATTTATTTGTTTATTTTGATAAAATGTTGATATAAAAACTTTGATCCAAATAAAAACKAACATGAATCATCTAAAGAAGTTCTGATAAAGTTCTGGAAACTGAGACCAGTCCAGTTATCAGGGAACCCTGACATGAAACGGGTCCTGTTCCCTCAGAGGTTCTGCTGAGTCAGAACCAGGACTGACAGAGCGGTTCTGTCTGGACTCCTGTTGGTTCTGATACTAAAGCTGATCTCAGACCCGATGACCCGGTTCCTTCAGAACTTATCAAACTCTACAATCGCCTGGAGGTCCACACGAGTCACAGGGGTCCWGTTCTTGAAGACTGTCCTGGACCTTCAGAACCTGGACCACCATACCAAGGTAAGACCCAAAGACAGTTCTGAAGGACTTTCTTCAAAAGGCACATCCAGAACATTCCGGACCAACAGGTCTSAGGAGGTTCTGATGGGAGACCCCATGGATCTCAGCAGGACCCAGAGTCCTCTCAGACCTTCTGAGCTGAACCCAAAGCTCTGATCAGCTGATCCAGGATCAGGTTCTGTTCGGTTCTTCAAGAACCCAGGGTCCAAAAGAACCTGGTCCTTACCTGGACCTTCTGCAGTTCCTGATCCACTCAGGGGGTCCAGTCTGGTTCTAGAAGGTGGGCGGAGCTTAAGAGAGGTCCGGTTTCATGGCTTATAGTCTGATTGTTGTCCTGAAAGGTGATTGGTCCATCACAACAAGCCACGCCTTCTTCTACAAAACATTCATTCAGGCACAGGGAGGCGGAGCTTTGAGTTTCCTGAGCAGTTGATTGGCTGGTGTGTCCTGAGTWCTGACCAACCAGCTGGGCCCTGGCTTTGATTGGTTAGAATGAGCAGGGAGGCGGAGCCTGGGAACACCTGAGTCCAGACGTTTACAGGTACAACCGTAGAGATGTGGAGTCTCTGCTGGTGGGTGGGATCAAAGGTAGTGGGCGTGGCTTTGGACTATCAAGCAGTGATTGGTCAGTAGAATAAATTGGGCGGGGCCTTGTGTATCCTGAGCGTTTGAATAGAAGAGAGGATTTTCTTTTGATGTCCAGCGAGGGTGACGCCCACTCTTAGCAGGTCTCTATGGAAACAGACAGGAAGTTACTATTTCACCATGAGCTTTGACTGAAAGGAAGTTAATGACATGTTAAACCCTGAGCTCTGACTGACAGGAAGTTAATGACATGTTATACCCTGAGCTCTGACTGACAGGAAGTTTATGACACATTAAACCCTGAACTCTGACTGACAGGAAGTAAATGACACAGTAAACCCTGAACTCTGACTGACAGGAAGTTAATGATGTGTTCCACCCTGAGCTCTGACTGACAGGAAGTTAATGACAAATATTAAACCCTGAGCTCTGACTGACAGGAAGTAAATGACACAGTAAACCCTGAGCTCTGACTGACAGGCACAGATAGGTGTTTCTTACTCTGTGTTGAGCTGTGAAACCACGTCCAGGCTGGTGAACCCAGCCTGCAGGAAGTTCTGCTCGTATCGCTCCATCTTTATGGCCCGGAGCCACTCAGAGACAGAACCACAGGCTGACAGAAGAGGGGGGACTCGCTGGTCCAACAGGGGGTGGGACGGACTGAGARACACAGAGGGTCAAAGGTTAAGAGGGGTGGGTTCAGGCTGAAGATGTAAAACATGAGACAGACAGCTGAGTGGTCTCTGAGGGTCTAAAGGTCTTCATGAGTCCTGGACCTGGTTCTYCAGGGTTTTTATTTCTTTATATTGAACTTGAAGGAAACCATCCAGGGTCTGGTTTTTCTCTTTGAACTCTTCTAAAGAAGTGAAAAACCTTCAGAAGGTCWGGAGAACTAACATAAACTGGTATCATGGACTCAGACCAGGTTTTAGTCAGGACATGGTCCAGTCTGGACCTGGTTCTGAACCTAACAGAACTGTTCTCTCAGGACAATGAGCTTCACCTGTTAAACATCTGTCAGTCACACAGCTAGTAGCTCCTCCCCCTGATCCTGGGGGTCCACAGGCTCACCTTGGGGCCTCTGGGGGCGTGGCCTTCAGGGAGGCGGGGTTTCGGATCAGCCTGTCGAGCGAGGCCACGATGTCACAGAACCTGGGTCTGTTGGCCCGGTCCTTCTGCCAGCAGTCCAACATGAGCGCGTGCAGKGAGGCGGGGCAGTCGGGCGGCGGCGGCAGGCGGTAGTCCTGCTCGATGGCGTTTATCACCTGGAGGACAGGTAGACCGTCAGACAGGTCTGATTTATGAAGAGCCTGAAACTGAACTCATCTTGTTGGTTTGTTTGTTTGTTTGTTTGTTCATTAAAGTCCCAGCTGAGTCTCGTCCTTACGTCCTGGTTGCTCATGTCCCAGTACGGTCTCTCTCCATACGACATCACCTCCCACATGACGATCCCGTAACTCCACACGTCACTGGCTGATGTGAACTTCCTGTTGGACAAAACCTCATTACCATCCGAATCTTTAGAACCTGGCCTACAGGAACCTCATCAGATCCTCTGACTCACCTGTAGGCGATGGCTTCAGGAGCCGTCCACCTGATGGGAATCTTCCCGCCCTGAGGAGAAACCAGACACCTGTTAGAAAACTGCTTCAGTATCAAACAGCTGAGGAGGAACCAGAGACTCACCAGGGAGCTGGTGTAGGTCGGGTCTGAAGAGTTCTCCTTCAGGAACCTGCTGAGACCAAAGTCTGACACCTGGACAGACAAAAACAGATCTGAGTAATGAGACAGGCTGGACAGACAGACAGACAGGAGACAGACAGGAGACAGACAGAAGACAGACAGGAGACTGACATGAGACAGACAGGAGACAGACAGAAGACTGACATGAGACAGAAAGAAGACAGACAGGAGACACACAGGAGACAGAAAGAAGACAGACAGGAGACACACAGGAGACAGAAAGAAGACAGACAGGAGACACACAGGAGACAGAAAGAAGACAGACAGGAGACACACAGGAGACAGACAGAAGACTGACAGGAGACAGACAGAAGACAGACGTGAGACAGAAAGAAGACAGACAGGAGACAGACAGGAGACAGAAAGAAGACAGACAGGAGACACACAGGAGACAGAAAGAAGACAGACAGGAGACACACAGGAGACAGAAAGAAGACAGACAGGA